TCTACCAGTTTCAATGTTTAGTTTAGGATCACTTAAACGAAGCTTTGAGAAATGTGGCCTATGAGCTTTGTTTTTTGCAATAAGTAAGCAAATATTTAAAGATGACTTGACTAACCTGTATGTTCTTAACTTGCTGTAGAAAAAATGGGAATCCCTTAATGAATGCGTGAACATATTTTGAAATTTAGACTGAAGTTTATTTCAATGTATTCATTACATTTATTTGTGTTTACTATTTCAAAAGGTTGTTTAGACTCTTCAAAACAAGAAACGCAATACGGATATGTTTTGCCATAAAAGCATTCTTAGCGGACAAAGAAGTGCAAAATGAACATGTGTTACAGTATCAGTGACAAATGTCACGGATCAAAATGATCACAAGGACATGAAAACCATTAGTCGGGGAACACGTACGATTCAGAAAAAACGCGCAGAGTGCCTTAACAAAAGGGCCATGGAGCTGCACGTACTCCACGTGCAGCAGCACTATGACCGGTATTCAAGTGCAGGGTTTTTGATTGCCTGGCATCTGCGTCAATCGAACAGTGACATTTCAACAACATGAAAAGATTAACAGAAGTGCAAAGAAACAACGTCATTGTCCGGTTGCAGGGAGGGGGCTCCCGATCAGCCGTAGCCAGGGTTTTCAATGCAGCGCCCAGCACCATCACAATGCCATGGGCTCGGTTTCAACAACATGGGTCAACACGTGATCGGCCAAGGTCGGGATGACCAAGAGTAACCAACCCCGCCCAAGGTCGTCACATCCGATTGTGCCACGGGCAGGGCAGTCTTGCATCAACGAAATTCTGCCAATTGCAGCCAAGGGCAACGGTGTATTCCAGCAGGAATATTATATTATTTGTAGTAATAGTGCGTATATACCAAGTTCTGGCTGACAAGCCCAGTTACATGTTTTCCGGCCTTGGTTTTCCTTGTGTTCACCATTTACTTACTTACTCAAATTGGGAATTTGAACGTGCGCTTTGCGACATATGCGTATTTCGCGCACTAGACCGCCAGGCCATTTAGTGTTTGGTCGAAAAGGGTATGTCCGAAAAGGTTGGGCAACCTAGGTGGGGCTTTTAGGGTTGCTTACTTAATTTGGAGAACAAATTTGGAATTTTGAAATATGCCATTCACAAGGTGGAGGGGGGACTAAATGGAGTTCGTGTGTATTTATAGGACTGGTTTAGATTTTGAGGGTTTATTGGCAGCTTGTTTGTTGTATTTTTGTTTAGATGCGGCCGAGTAGGTCTGTTTTTATTAGATATATGCCTAGTGCTTTAAAGGTTTGTAAGTAATTTAGGGGGTTTAGTATCGTTGCTAGTGTCATTTGATTGTTGCAGTTTAGTGTTATTATTTCATGTTAATCTTTGTGCCATGCATGTAACTATAGGTAAATAAATATATATATAATATACTTTGTCTTTTCAACTAGTTTAGTTATATCAATAGCTTGGCGTGATTACCAATTTTGGCCTGAGAGTTATCGTAAACTACTCAAGACATTTCCTTTATATCGCCTCGGTATATTTCTATCATTCAGCATAAAAGAAAATTGTAAATTAAGACTGTTATGTATGTTATTTTCTAATCATTTTGGAATCGCGATACCTTGGCCCTGTACTTGGCATTATCAATGCTGCAGTTAAAGTAAAGCCACTGTTTCTATATACGTAATACTGATATTATTGTCAACGCGCTTGTGTTGACGGGGAATTAGCTGTTGTGGGAAAGAAGGACAAAATCGACATCACTGTCCCGGAACGCTTTATGCACAACATGTAAACAATAAACAACAATTGCACAATGAGCGGAATACCTGCTCTGACAACACAAACACAGCGATGAGCGGACCTTCCAGCTTAGGCGTACAAGAGGTGAGCGGAGCTCCAGCTCACCTCAGGGCGTTTCCTACGAGCGGCACATCCTGCTCGAGGTCGTCCCTATGCCAGCACTCGAAATACCAAGCCTGACTAACACCGTAGTAACTGTGTAATGGTAGCACATATATAGTAATGAACAACAATGGACACACAAAGAGACAACGACGTTGCTTTGGACATTGGACATATGGGCGTGATTAACCAACACAGTTCATGGGATGATCAATTAGGGCAATAAATGCCATACTATAAAAAGCAGTAGTTAAAGGGAAGTGATATGGTAGTCCAGGGATTAGCGCCTAAAACGTAATGACAATTAAGTTATGGAGACATGGCTACAGGGTAATTTGCCCTTGGAGTCAAATGTACTGCAGACAATGGTAGTCATAAATCAGTCGCTATGACATTATCAACAAAACAAATATGTGCTTCAAATAAGGGTATTATGGTCGTACATAATACTATGTCCTAATTTTACAGATATTTTAATTCACATGGCGTAGTAGAGATGACGTTTGCCCGGATAGGACAGGTATTTGGAATACGTTAAAAACCATTCTACCACAACATTGACGAAAGTTTGATTCTGATTGGTTTAAAAGAGGGTTTTTTAAACCAGTCAATACCTAAGTGTCAAGTTCAGCCAGCTCGAACTTAGAGGGGAAGAGAGAGAGTCATTCGTAATATGTATTACTTTACTGGGGTGATAGTTCAAACCAACTGCTACTTACGTGGACCTTCAAAATACCTAAATTCAAATACCCACATTTGCTTAACAGTTACCCCTGTCATGTTGATTTCAAAGGAATGATTTATTTGCGTGCATGCAGTGCAAATATACAACAGGTTGTGGTACAATTAAATATATTTCTTTGAAGGGTTATTTTATTAATTCTTTTCGAGAAAACACTATTTATTCTGTAACCATTATTTTGAATTAGTCAAGCTTGACAGTTACTTATCTTGAACTTGAGTAATAATTGTTACATTTTTCAGTACCCAACCTATTTTCTTCCGAGGACTGCCCTGTCCGACCGAGGATCAATTGTGGAATACGTATATACATTGAAAATATAACAGGTCAACGTCAGAGAATAACTAGCAATGAAAATGTGTCATCTTCGATTATTATTTGTTTCATATCTTCACTCTGTTATCATATATACATCATCACATACTTATATCTTATCACTAACTTTTCATTTACTTATCACATACTTATATATAACTTATCACATTCTTATCACTATCTTATCACATACTCATCACTAACGTATCACATACTTACCACTAATTTATCACATACTCATTACTAACTTATCTCATTCTTGTCACATACATGTCACTAATTTATCAAATACTTATCACATACTTATTACATACTTATCACTAACTTATCACATACTTTTCACTAACTTATCACATATTCATCACTAACTTAACTTATACTTATCACATACGTGTCACTAACTTATCACATACTTATCATATACTTATCACAAATTCATCACTAACTTATTACATACTCACCACTAACTTATCACATACTTATCACTAACTTATCACATATTCACCACTAACTTATCACATACGTATCACTAACTTATCACATATTCATCACTAACTTATCACATACTTATCACATGCGTGTCACTAACTTATCACATACTTATCATATACTTATCACTAACTTATCACATATTCATCACTAACTTATTACATACTCACCACTAACTTATCACATACTTATCACTAACTTATCACATATTCACCACTAACTTATCACATACTTATCACTAATTCATCACATACATAGAGAATACTACACTCATTCTCGTTAGATACCATTTTTACGAAACGAGTGGACTTTCTATGGTATCAGATACCATAGAAAGTTCACGAGTTTCGTAAAAATGGTATCTAACGAGAATGAGCGTGGTATTTTATTTATTACCCACGATAAATATGTATGTAAGTGTAAATACATAGCAACTTTCGTTCGTTGACAGACAAAACTGAAACCGGTTGCAAAATCTGGTTGCGCATGAATATTGATATATGCCCAAATATGGGCATTGTTGACATTTCTATGAATACGCATTAACAACATACGCCTGCAGTTGTGTTTGCAAACAAAACAAGACCGACGCTCAAGATCCTTTTGGAAATTATTCAACTTATGGTAATTCAAGCGCCATGTTGTTAGTGCGAAGGACACCTATATGGAAATTTGAAGAGTCACATTAGCGCCGCGCTTTGAATATCGGACTAACAGTCGGTCACTCGCACTGCCGGTGTCCAGTCTGTGCAATCAAAATGGTTCGGTTTCCTTTATCTATCAGCTGAATTTATATCATGTTCGTACCATTTTGGAAGAGGGAAATCAGAGTGTTCATGTTAACTGTACCACCCTATAATGAACACGTGAAAATCAACAAACTCAAGTCTGCTTGCATGTCAGTGACAGCTTCGAACGATCGAAGGGCAAGGTCACCACCGGAATAAGAAAATACAACCGTGATCTAGATCTAGGCCAACTCACAGCGTTTTACGCGAGAGATAGGGAATGCTATTGTTCACATTTGGGATGTTTGGGGTCACAAAATCAGAAGTCAGGCACACTTCCACGTAGTTTTCGAATTATTTGTATCAGAACTGTTCACTTTAAGTGATCTGGTGGTGCAGTCGTGTACGTTCATTCATGAACAGCACCTCCCGTAACAGCGCCACAAAATACGCTTCGAAGGGGACACTGATGGCACAACCGGATCATCCCAAGTAAGTCTAAATATCTGTCAGGATAGTTTAAACAGACTTCATTTCACCACGCTTATCCTTTTACGTGAAATCAAATTGAAAGTGGCGAAAGTGGTCGGGTGCGTCACGCTCATGGGGACCCTCGCTCTATTGATCGGTAGTCGTACATTGTAAATGGATATAGCTCGATTATATAATGTCTGTAGAAGCTCTATGCGTAACTTATATATAATGCAAACCGAATTTGATGCGTTTGACTATTTTGTTTGGTTTAATATAGTGTTTGTAAATATCTCTCGTTCTCATTAATTTCTTCAGTTCTGCCTTGTAGTTGCAAAATGAATGACGTCTCGCGATTTTTTATGAATGGAAAAAATAGGCCCGGTCTGACAGACGTCACGGTTATCCAATCAAAACGAATAAAACAAGGTCAACCTTGTACGACGCACGTGTGACGTACGGATTTAGTATCTTACCACCTGTATCTTATAATTCTCACATACGTGTCATAAGCGTATCACATACTCATCACTAACTTATCACATACTTAACACATACCTATCACTAACTTATCACATACTCATCACTAACTTATCACATACTTATCACATACTTATCACATACGTGTCATAAACGTATCACATACTCATCACTAACTTATCACATACTTATCAAATACTTATCACATACCTATCACTAACTTATCACATACTCATCACTACTTTATCATAAACTTATCACATACGTGTCACAAACTTATCACTAACTTATCACATACTCATCACTAACTTATCACATACTTATTTCTAATTTATCACATACTAATCACTAACGTATCACATACTTCTCACATATGTGTAACTAACTTATCACTAACATATCACATACTCATTACTAACTTATCATCACATACTTATCACTAACTTATCACATACTCATCACTAACTTATCACATACTTATCACACACTAATCACTAAATTATTACATTCTTATCACTAACTTATCATATACGTGTCACCAACATATTACATACTTATCACTAATTTATCATTACCTTATTATGAATTTATTACATACGTTTCACTAACTTATCACATACTTATCACATAGCGTTTCTTGCTCATGAATATACTATAGACTGCAATTTGTAGCTGTCTGTCTTTCGAATATAAAGGAAGTTATGGTAGTGATGTTCCAGGGTATTCCTTCTGATAGCAAGGATCTATAAAGCACTGGATAAGCGAAGTGAGAAGCCTAAATCTCAGTGTCTCTATTGAGCATTATCGAACTCAGGAAAACTAAGACTACGATGGTGACGGTTGCTATTGTACCCAGATACAGCCTGAAGAAAAGTGCGTCAAAGGCTCTGGCTATCTCCTGCCATGTCATCTCTGCACTGGGGCTGGTAGAGGGGGCACTCGCGATGCCATCGGCGTTGGTTGGATCACTCTCGTGGACTGCATTCTGAATGTCCTTGACCTTGGGATCTTCCACAGTGTCGTTGCTGCTGACTGACGCTGACCTCGACTTCCGGTTCAAGCTCCGGGCACAGGTCAAGGGCATAACTACACACCTGGTTGCATGTTCCAGCCACGGCGTCACTTTACCTTCCCGGAAGTTGAAGTCCAGGACGACGATGGTCAGCACTACGGACAGGCCGCTCAGACAGAGGATGACAGCCAGGTACATGGCTGAAATATCACACAGGATAAACAGTGTTAGAAATTGCTCGATAGATCACGACAGATTGGATGACATATATGGAGACAGGTAAAAGAGAGCTGACAAAATATTACATGCTGCACAAACCTGTTTACTCAACAGCGCCAATCACATATGGGAATTCATTTTCGTTTCTCTTACTAACTAGGGGAAAACCCCATAGTTCTCAGCCACGAACATGTTCATGGTGTGGGGTTGGGGTGGGGGTGGGGGTGGGGAGGGGGGGGGGGGGGGGGGGATGTGTGATCTGTATCTGGTCTGCTGCTTCTGATACCACATGTACTATCATTACGTCTTCCATCACAACGTACGTTTTCTACCACTACATGTACTACCACCACGTCTTCCACCACAACGTTGTCTAACACTACATCTACAACCAAAACGTCTTCTACCACTAGATAAGTTTTCTACCACTACATCTACAAACACCACGTCTGCTATCGCTAAGACGTCTACCACTTTATCTACAACCACCACGTCTTCTACCACTAGATACGTCTTCTGCAACTACGTCTTTTACCACAACGTACAACTTCTACAACGACGTCTTCTACCACTATATTTTCCACCATTACGTCTACAACCACTTCGTCTTCTGCCAGTTCTGATTTTACCTGTACGTCTGTAACCTTTTCGCCAACTATCGCTACGACTTTAGGTCTACTACCACTACGTCTACCACTACGACGTCTACTACCGCTACTTCTTAATCAACGAAGCCGTGTCTTCATATATGAAGTGTTCAGGATCTAGTACCACTACGTCTACAACAACTACTAGTACTACTGCTACTTCTGTTACTACTATGTCTACTACGTCTACTACCACTACGCCAACCCGTGTCTAACCCATGTAGGAGGTGGACATGCGGTTAGCAATGAGGATCAGGATCTACTACCACCACTGCTACTAGATCTACTACCACTACAACGACTACAAATACGTCCACTACCACTACGACAAGCCGTTTCTTACCCATGTAGGAGGTGTCGCGGGAGGTGGTGGGCATGCGGTCAGCGATGAGGGTCAGGATCTACTACCATCACTGCTACTAGATCTACTACCACTACAACGACTACAAATACGTCCACTACCACCACGACAAGCCGTTTCTTACCCATGTAGGAGGTGTCGCGGGAAAAGGTGGGCATGCAGTCAGCGATGAGGGTCAGGATCTACTACCATCACTGCTACTAGATCTACTACCACTACAACGACTACAAATACGTCCACTACCACTACGACAAGCCGTTTCTTACCCATGTAGGAGGTGTTGCGGGAGGTGGTAGGCATGCTGTCGGCGATGAGAGTCAGGAAGACAGCAAAGGAGAGAAGCACCGTGAGAGAGTAGCCCATCTTCTCCCCGCTGTCCGGAGGCAGGACGAACACCAGGGCCGACAGGATGGACAGAACCACCACGGGAAGGATGATGTTGATGCCATAATATTCTGGTCTCCGCTGAAGTCGGAATTTGAAGGCAACCGTGGCATAGGTATCGACGTCAGCGCTAAGTGTACGCTTCTCCTCCTGTCTCTCGCTGAAAGCCTCTATCAAGCTCCACTCCCCGTTTTTTACATACGCAGCAGTGTCCACACTCTCGCGATATTTCTTTAAGTCAAGTTCCCTGATGTGGTAGCCCCAGCTTTGAATGATGACAGAACATAGCTGGAAATCGAAGGGGTAGTAGGTGATGTCAATGTCGCAGTAGGTTTTGTAAATTCCGGGTGGATTCCAGTTTATTCTGCCCTCGTTACTGACTCTCAGTGGAATGTGTTCGTTAGCTATGACGTCTAAATTGTCGATTCTAAAACATACCACGAACACAAGAAATATATAATAATCATTTTCAATGATAGTAAAACAGTTTGAATGTTCAACAGTCTAACTCCATTAAGTGATTCGGAGAATGGGAAAATATTTTCATACTACGATTCAATTTTATGTAGCTTATCAGAATCAAGTTACTTCGAAACAGAACAAGATATTTCCAAACTTGATAAAACGTGACGTGATGAAGACTAACACAGGCTGCAGTCTTATGCAATTTACGGCCAGTCATATGTCTGAAAGGATGGAATCAGACATGGAATTTGGAACCAACGATCCGACCGACCATTGACATATTGCAATTGCAGGTGTCTCTTTCGATATAATAACGTCACTCTGAGGCCCCGGATTACACACGTTCATTCGAGAGTAAACCCGCCACGTGCCCCGATGACGGTCTCCAACCCGTGTCTCATCTCTTCGGCCAGACGTCGGAACTACAGAAGGGGCAACTCGCAACTCGCGATGCAAAGCTGCTTCCAAATCCCGCACACGTTTTACAGGTGACAGTGCCTGTATACGACACCCAAGTATTCCTGTCGAATCAGATCTTAAGATTTAAGGCGGGTTCAGGCAGAGACAATTACAGCGTTGTTCTGGTAGGCTGCCCGGGAACGGTGTCTGGTTGCAGGACATCTCGAACGTACTGACTACCTGTGAGGTTGACTTGTAGGATAAACAGGTCAAACTTGCAATCGTGTGAGAAACCTCCCCCAATCATCACCGAGACGCCCTTCACGGCACAGGTGTCTTGATGTATCGCGTATCCTGGGTTTCGAAGCCGCATTCCTGTGCAGCCAAGTCACCAGTTGTCATCCGTGACATGGAGCAGTCGTCAGAACGAGGGGGTTCACCTAGATTCTCAGATACCAAGTCCGTCGAGTTAAACACCGTGCCAAAGGTAAGCCCTGATGGCGATCTGGCAGTAGGGTGCGCTTGACGACCCCCCTAGGCGCCATTCACGCTGTTCACATTCGGTCACTCAAGGTTCTGGTGGCAGAAGTGGACTAGGTAGCCATTGTAGACAGTCCTGTCGTGGTACTAATCGAAGCAGTCTTAACTCTGTGACGTCGCAGGAGGTCGTCCTGACAGTGGAAGACCATCCACAGAATTGGTTTCACAATGTTGTCTCACCAATCGGCTGATTACTGTGTGATTGAAGCTGCAGCTGAAAACCCTGCTGCATGCTCTCCGCCTTTTTGCCATCTTTGCGCCTCTGAAATCCTTCTTCTTCTTTAACCAATCCTTGGCCACATCTTTAGATACCTTAGCCGCGGTGGCAATTTTTTTTATTGCTCCTACACCTTTCCAATATCCTCGTGGGCTATAGTAAATTTTATCCATTATTAATTAATATTGATGTTTCGTTTAATACAACTCATGACTATCGTTGAATCGCATAGTCATTTTGGCATAAAAAATTCCCCCTGTAGTAGCAGTATAGGTATATAAATCCGGCTCCAGTGGAAGAGAGCCAGAACCCCTATTACCTATACTACTTTCGTGCCATGTTTACAGTGAATAAATACACATTGCAACACAGAGGATTTAAAGATGAAAATTAGATGCCTAAAGATTTTGAAGAATACATGAGTTGCATGTTGTATAATCATCATTGTCATTGAAAAATTAACATTAATTGTGAAATGGTGTAATTCTTTACCTTCGTGGATGCTTAACAGTATTCCAGATATAATGATTCGAATAACTTACGCGTTTTTTACCACGAGCGAGGGTCGCCATATTTCAGTTTCATCGGAAAAGATGAACATAATGTCGTCGTACTTTGTAGTGTTCCATTCCAGGCGTGTGTCGTTCCATACCTTGGCAAAATACAATACATGAGTCAGTATATGTGGGCTACCACAGCAATATAGAATACTAAACGAGCTCCCTGTGTAATACCAATTTTATGAAACGAGTGAATAGTGGTGGTATCTGACGAGCGAAAGCTCGTCAGATACCACAACTATTCACGAGTTTAAAATTGGTTTTACACGGGAGCGAGTTTAGTATTTTATTTATTACTTGCAATTTATAACGTTTTTTGAATTATACTGTGGAGTATGAATAGGCTGACACCTACATGATCCACGACATAGTCCAATTGAGTTTAACAGAATAATACTTCAAACACGTCGAAAGTTGAAACGTATGAATTTCATACCATACAACGGGTCTACCTTTAGAATTCACAAAATTATCGTAGGGCTAAGACTTTCGCATCTCACATACTTTAACTTAGACCAACGACTGTCGTTGCGCTACAATACGATCGCCTTGTGGAACGGGCCTTGCACCTCAAAGTTTTCAATAACGTCACAATACCCGATGACGTAATTTGTGGAATTTTGATGCAAGATCCATCGGCGAAACAATGCCATGTGACGTCAGCCTAGCAACAAGGTTGCTGGGGTCATCGAGTGTGCATAAGCTCCTCTCAGTGATCTATCAACTCCACACGCAATGTCGTTGAATAAGCCAAGGGATGTTGAGAGCTTTCAATATTGGTTCGTAAAACGTGTTCCGAGAGTACATAAGCACGCGTTTTGGTATTACACAATGTGTAATAAAGCTGTATGTTTATTAAACGGGTGATCTCTTCACGGGCAAGTAATAAATGAGTATCCGATATTCTTCTTGCATCAACTCATCTTGCATCAACCGGGGTCTCAAAGATATAATTAACAATAGCTTAAAGAGGTTAACAAGGGAGACACCTGTTCAAGAAACACTGAAAAAAACCGGTTTTTGCTTCCTGTTGAAAGAACTATGTTTGGTGTCCTTGGGTTCTGGTTTTCGAATGTTTACCTCGTCAAAAGCAATCATTCGTTTTGTTATACGGAAATTCACTTAAAAGTTTATGAAGTCTTTAAACTGTCCAGTCTTTCATTACAGTAATCTACGAACCGTGACATGTGTCTACCAGACGATATCTTGATAACTAGCATACGAGACTATATCTGACATGTCAGTCATGTGACGAGTAAATATTCGAGTGTCGGTCACGTGATTTGGGTCTCTAAATTGAAATGCATTGTTTCGTCAAGTGGTGCGGATTAACCAATGGCATTGCAAGAATTTTAATAGAGGTAAAACCACATAGTGACATTCCACGTGGCAGGTAGAAGGACACGTTGATCACCGAGCTCAGACTCGATGTAGATGTAGTAATTAGTGCAGAGAGTGAAACGGTTTTCACTCTGTTGTGAGGGTAACCACTGCCTCCAGATAACATGTGTTTCAACTCGTAGATTCAAAAGTGATGGTCCCTTTTAGGTGAGAAGAAACTCAGCATGAGAGCCTTTTTTTTCACAAAGCGATTTAAGCTCTACGACTATCGTAACTTCCATACTTCGACACAGAACACGCCAGCCGAAGTCGAGATCACTCTTTGGAATGGTTCCTGGGTCATCAAGAGTGCTAATTATGATCACGAGCGAAGGATCACAATCGAGCTAAATCTGAATTCGAACAAACACTAACGGATCCAAGTAGCTTACAGATTAAAACACCGCGTCTTAATTTAAATGTTTCTTTCTGCAGTGGTCCGTGTAACTTGTAATATTTCTAAATCGTTACATTTATTAGTGGTACTATGCTAACCATCGAGGTACAAGTTAACATAACGCATAGATCATGATACAAACACCTAGCCCTTGGAAGTAAAACGTGCGTACCGAATTCCCGCCAACATACACATCAATTACATGCATGCATGCATACATTCATACATACATACATACATACATACATACATACATACATACATACATACATACATACATACATACATACATACATACATACATACATACATACATACATACATACATACATACATACATACATACATGTCCATAGTTCCCTTCTTCACAACCCATGATTGTGGGTTCAAATCCCCACTCGCCCCCATTATGTTTCCTGGTTTGTGAGCACCATACCCGTGCACGTGGATTTCACCAAAGTGGTAAACGTCTGATACCTGCATCACTTCAGGCTTTCCTGGCACAAGTTGACTTGCTGTAATATAACTGGAATTCTATTCAATACAGCGTTAAACCCAACTCACTCACTCACTCACTCACTCACTATATTAAACATACATCTGCTTATTAGAGGTGGATTCGTTCACCTTGTAACGGTACATGGCCACATTCAATGGTCGACAGAAACCACGAGCAGTAAGTAATATTCACAGGAGAACAGTGCTACAAAGCACATTCTACCCTCTGTTACCTGTATTCCCGCCACATTGTGGTGGGTCAGGCATAATCATCTGTGATAGGACCGTTAATACCGACCAACAGGTGGCATGTCAACACTTCAGCCATATGTAGCATGTCATTATGCAATGTAGTTGGTCTGACGAAAATCGATACCGAATGTGTTTATGGAAAGAGTGTGACTAACGTACCATGTAATATGTTGCGGTGATGACTGTATTTCGATTGTGCCACTGTAAATATTCTGTACATTGTAGTTCTAACAATGGCGGTCAATACTAACGCGACGCAATTATTCAAGACAACTAGGTTCCAATTCTCGTGTGGTAAATATAAACTGTACCGGCTAACTGCAGCGCCATGCTACTTGTCATGGTGTCAACACTCCTAGGGGCCTGGCGTTACCGTTAGGAGCATATAGTACACACGTCATGTAGTGGCGGTGTATATACCTGCTGGGGTCAGAGCGGATGAGCAAACATGGTTTTTATCAACATGTACTCCTGGTTTGGATCAAAGACACAAACAATGGGATTCACAAATTGTACAACGTGACAGGTATTAGCTTCCCCCACAGTCCTTGTGTAGACATACGTCAGACACCGATGAGCCATACAGACAACCATACTTCCAAAGTAGACACAACCCCTGTTCTTGGTTGACATCACTGGTTTCACCATCGGAACCTTTTGCCTGTGCTATGCACATCTGTAAATTATGGAATAATGTGAGGGTCATCTCGCGTTTTCGCGGGATCAAACTTTGGAAACAAGCTATAAAATAGATACGAATTGCGGTATAAGACATCAGGAGATCTTGCAAAAAATTCGCGTTCTCACGTTCTCGCATTCTCGTGCTTTTAGGTAAAAGTATTTTTTCTCAAAATTCAAATGCATGGAAGCATCATTTGGACACAATGTACAACTCGCTATGCGATGTTTCATTTTCTATAGCAAATATATAGGGTGGGTACCACTAACACTTGCTGCTGCTACACACTGTTCCGAGTGCAACTTACCACTGTGAAGTAGCCTGACACGGAAAACGTCTGAGTCCGGGTCACCTGCACAAGAAAAGAAACACATTGCAGGATATATCGCAGAAAAAACGGTAACCGCAACATTGGTCAACCTTCTATCCGTGAACAACAAGCCACTTGTTAATACAGGCCAGGGTTTCTTTCAAACTGTTTTAAGCATTTGGGGCTAAAACTTCCCCACACCTCAAATGGTCTCCCTCTTTGGGGAATTGTGTGGAACCACACTCCGGGCTTCTGTGACGAACGCTTTAACCACAACACATGAAAATGAGCAGACATTTCGCCATAACCTACGTACAGAACACAACCATATCTGTGCAAAGGATACTTGAAATGTAAAACCTTGTATTGGCTTGAATCTTAATTGCAAAATAGATAAACGTGTAGGAAGGATTCGGGGACTAGTATTCATCCAAATTAAATAACAGGTAATTTAATATCTTCGAAAATGAGAAGACTTTTGAAGAAAGAAGTGTATCGGTCAGTGGACATGATAGATGATCAATAAAAAGGATGTATCTTTTCGTGAACATGGCGGATGAACTATAAACGTTATGTGTTGTGGGCCTCCGGCTGTCAAGTAACAACGATGTGCTTCACGTTGTCCACCTTGTGAGTTGGACATCAAATATCCCGTCATCCAAAAGCTGCTGAATTAAAGTTGAAGCTAATGAACAATACAATAATTTATTGTTCCTAAAAAGGGTACAACGCTAATAATTCGACTCACCAGATCGTTAACCGTAATGATGTTGAAGGCGAGTCCGACGTCCGTGACACTCAGTGGACGAACCTTCAAGGAGTAATTGGTCAACAGGTCAGTCCGAAGCCGGCTTTCTGCCTCGAAAGTAAACCCCAGGACCGGAGACCCTGCAACCAGAAGACGAAGAGGTTCCTAGGGGCTGACACACTAGACTGCTTCAAGACTTGACATGTGTTTGTCTGACCGTTTGTAGAGCTGACACACTAGACTGCTTCAAGACTTGACATGTGTTTGTCTGACAGTTTGAAGAGCTGACACACTAGACTGCTTCAAGACTTGACATGTGTTTGTCTGACAGTTTGTAGAGCTGACACACTAAACTGCTTCAAGACTTGACATGTGTTTGTCTGACAGTTTGTAGAGCTGACACACTAGACTGCTTCAAGACTTGACATGTGTTTGTCTGACCGTTTGTAGAGCTGACACACTAGACTGCTTCAAGACTCGACATGTGTTTGTCTGACAGTTTGTAGAGCTGGCACACAAGACTGCTTCAAGACTTGACATGTGTTTGTCTTACAGTTTGTAGAGCTGACACAGTAGACTGCTTCAAGACTTGACATGTGTTTGTCTGACAGTTTGTAGAGCTGGCACACAAGACTGCTTCAAGACTTGACATGTGTTTGTCTTACAGTTTGTAGAGCTGACACAGTAGACTGCTTCAAGACTTGACATGTGTTTGTCTGACAGTTTGTAGAGCTGACACAGTAGACTGCTTCAAGACTTGACATGTGTTTGTCTGACAGTTTGTAGAGCTGACACACTAGACTGCTTCAAGACTTGACATGTGTTTGTCTGACAGTTTGTAGAGCTGACACACTAGACTGCTTCAAGACTTGACATGTGTTTGTCTGACAGTTTGTAGAGTTGACACACTAGACTGCTTCAAGACTTGACATGTGTTTGTCTGACAGTTTGTAGAGCTGACACACTAGACTGCTTCAAGACTTGACATGTGTTTGTCTGACAGTTTGTAGAGCTGACACACTAGACTGCTTCAAGACTTGACATGTGTTTGTCTGACAGTTTGTAGATTTCCTGCAGGACATCCAGAAACTCCAGCGAACATTTGGTTTCTTTCTCATTAAATCTGAGGCATAATTCCTTTACTTACCAGCAATATAAAAGTATTATAAAAGAAACTAATTTCTTTTTTAAAGAACCTAGCTTATTATTATTATTTACAGATTAAAGTACAAAACGCACCAAAGAGGGTTTGGGTGATCCTGGCACAGTCAGGCTCGTTATCAGCTCGGGGCCCTTGCCCCCTCTACACGCAACCCCGACAGCGAATGGGACTTCTCCTAGGAAGCGCTGCCTAGTCAAACCCACCCAGAACTTTTCGGAGAATGTGAAGACTCTCAACACTGCAGCCTTCTGCATTACCCAGATTGTCAGAAGGGCTGTATTCCTGGCAGCAAACCCGGGTACTCTCCCAATGTCAGTCAACAGATTGGGAGGTACCAAACCTAAGGCACCAAGAACAATGGGGAGTCGGACAACTTGATACTTGGGACGCAAGCGCGCCATTTCGAAAACGAGGTCTGCATATGATTATTAATATTAATATTATTATTATTATTATTATTATTATTATTATTATTATTATTATTATTATTATTATTATTATTATAATAATAATAATAATAATAATAATAATAAGTCTGTTGTGGGCGGCCTCACTGGCCAGAAAACGATACTGGGGAGCTACATGTTGAGTGTTGTTTATTCAACTGATTATATACTAAATAATTCCTTTCCATGGTCATATCGGCTGGCCGATTACTGGTTTCACAGCCTTCATTAGCCCTGATCTGCATGACTCTTGTCATACATAATTATTACACAGAATTGGAAATATTTCAGGTGAGGCAACATTACGCATCAACGCAATTTATTAACGTGTCATCGGTAGTAAACAGATATAATTCCCTACCTTGGAATCATTAAACCTCACTTGATGTTAAGTTGTTTGCGGCCCGTTTGTGACGTGGCACTGACAAACGACCAGGTAATCGTTGCATGGAAAGTAAGTGTGATTTGTATAGAACTGTCTATTTACATATTTACTGTGCTTCTCACAACACCGCTCCGGTTAATAGCGCATAATTGACAGGTCAGTCATTAGCCCACTTAGTTTGGTCATGTTAACAGCTAACAACACACACAACACCAGATTATATTGATTTCTTGTCTGTGATTGGCGCACTTTGATGTGAATGTCAACCATTCATACTAAGTAACGACAGTGATGGTTCAACAAACATCATCACAGACATACAATGTACGTGTACAGACAGCTCAGTCAGCTGATTGCGTTTATAAGGGAGAAAACGTTTTTAATATATCTTTGTAAACATACAAATGAATATTTGCCTTCTTATTGAATACATGCGTCATTCCAGTTGACTCTTGACCAGTAGCTGTGTTAGTTCGGACTTCACTTTTGTCGTCTGTTTTATACCCCTGTTCTGAAACTGTTACCTCAGTATTTGAAACTGTTACAACCATATAACAATAAACCACTGCCTTTCATTAGGTGAGGTGAAATTGGGTTTAACGTCGCGTCCAAGATTATTGCGGTTATATAGCGACGTGCATGCACGTGTATGTGTGTGTGTGGCTGCTTGTACTAGTCCCGACTGATGCCGATTGATAGTGCTAGCACACAGAGATATCGTGCCGCAGTTTAACATGGATACCCAACTAAGACACAGTATACTGACTCCGAGCCGACCAGTCCTTGTTTTAGCCCTTTAATGCCGAGCGACAGACAGGGTAACAACAAGTACAATCTTTTAACGTCTTTTGGTATGACGCGGCCGGGGCTCGAACCCCGGACCTTCCGCTCTCCGGGCGGACGCTCTACCACTAGACCACGGAGGCGGTCGCCTTTTATTAAGCCATATGCAATGTGTTTGGGTATTTGAAGTATTACAGTTATACGTTGGGCGAGAAGAGACATTAAGTCTGTCCATGATCGCCCTCAGCTCTACTTCTACCTCTGACGCCGTCGCTCCATCGTGACAGTCAGTAACACAACGTATGGTGGATATTGTGATGGTGAAATAGGTTTAGTTACTAATTACAGTTAGAGTACTATATTGTGTAGACCCAGTAGGCTCATTTCTATATACTGTTCTCACGGCTGGGTAATATGGAATCTGGATAACGATAAAATGATGGACATGATGAAGTGGCGTGAAATGAAGAGAAGACCTTTTAGTTACCGTCAGTGAGTAAGGTTGGGTTTAAGCTGTTTTTAGCAATACTCCAGCAATATCACGGCGGGGGACACTAGAAATGGACTTCACACATTGTACCCATGTTGTGAATCGAACCCGGGTCTTCGGCTCTCACAACAAGCATAGTCGCCTCTCACAACAAGCATAGTCGCCTCTTACGACAAGCATAGTCGCCTCTCACATCAAGCATAGTCGCCTCTCACGACAAGCATAGTCGCCTCTCACAACAAGCATAGTCGTCTCTTACGACAAGCATAGTCGCCTCTTACCACAAGTATAGCCGCCTATCACAACAAGCATAGTCGCCTCTCACGACAAGCATAGTCGCCTCTCACAACAAGCATAGTCGCCTCTCACAACAAGTATAGTCGTCTCTCACAACAAGTATAGTCGTCTCTCACAACAAGCATAGTCGCCTCTCACAACAAGCATAGTCGCCTCTTACGACAAGCATAGTCGTCTCTTACGACAAGCATAGTCGCCTCTCACAACAAGCACAGTCGCCTCTCACAACAAGCATAGTCGTCTCTCACATCAAGCATAGTCGCCTCTCACGACAAGCATAGTCGCCTCTCACAACAAGCAAGCATAGTCGTCTCTTACGACAAGCATAGTCGCCTCTTACCACAAGTATAGCCGCCTATCACAACAAGCATAGTCGCCTCTCACGACAAGCATAGTCGCCTCTCACAACAAGCATAGTCGCCTCTCACGACAAGCATAGTCGCCTCTCACAACAAGCATAGTCGCCTCTCACAACAAGTATAGTCGTCTCTCACAACAAGTATAGTCGTCTCTCACAACAAGCATAGTCGCCTCTCACAACAAGCATAGTCGCCTATTACGACAAGCATAGTCGTCTCTTACGACAAGGATAGTCGTCTCTCACAACAAGCACAGTCGCCTCTCACAACAAGCATAGTCGTCTCTTACGACAAGCATAGTCGCCTCTCACAACAAGCACAGTCGCCTCTCACAACAAGCATAGTCGTCTCTTACGACAAGCATAGTCGCCTCTCACAACAAGCATAGTCGCCTCTCACGACAAGCATAGTCGCCTCTCACAACAAGCATAGTCGCCTCTCACAACAAGTATAGTCGTCTCTCACAACAAGCATAGTCGCCTCTCACAAGCATAGTCGCCTCTTACGACAAGCATAGTCGTCTCTTACGACAAGCATAGTCGCCTCTCACAACAAGCACAGTCGCCTCTCACAACAAGCATAGTCGTCTCTTACGACAAGCATAGTCGCCTCTCACAACAAGCATAGTCGCCTCTCACGACAAGCATAGTCGCCTCTCACGACAAGCATAGTCGCCTCTCACAACAAGCATAGTCGTCTCTTACGACAAGCATAGTCGCCTCTTACCACAAGTATAGCCGCCTATCACAACAAGCATAGTCGCCACTCACGACAAGCATAGTCGCCTCTCAGAACAAGCATAGTCGCCTCTCACGACAAGCATAGTCGCATCTCACAACAAGCATAGTCGCCTCTCACAACAAGTATAGTCGTCTCTCACAACAAGCATAGTCGCCTCTCACAACAAGCATAGTCGCCTATTACGACAAGCATAGTCGTCTCTTACGACAAGCATAGTCGCCTCTCACAACAAGCACAGTCGCCTCTCACAACAAGTATAGTCGTCTCTTACGACAAGCATAGTCGCCTCTCACGACAAGCATAGTCGCCTCTCACAACAAGCATAGTCGCCTCTCACAACAAGTATAGTCGTCTCTCACAACAAGCATAGTCGCCTCTCACAACAAGCATCGTCGCCTCTTACGACAAGCATAGTCGTCTCTTACGACAAGCATAGTCGCCTCTCACAACAAGCACAGTCGCCTCTCACAACTAGCA